GTAATCTAGCGAGCTTTCTAGTAACTTAATTCTTTCCTCTAATTCCTTTATCTTTTTTTGTTCTAATATTTTTTTATGAGATGAGAATGAAATTATTTCACCTTTCATTACTGCTTTCCCTGCTTCCCATAGTATAGATGCTGATGTTCCTAGTAAATAATTGCACTCCAAGTATGAGGCCCATTCTTCCTTTAAAAATTTAAGAAAATCTTAATCTTTAAACAGTGATGTATTAAATCTCCAGCTCTTGTTTTGTGGAGCCATTTCTTTATTTATTAGGGTTAAAGTAACAGGAGCATGATCACTGACAGCAATAGGATGGATTACAGCAGTGAGCTGCTGATTAAAAAATAGTCCAAACCGGAGTAGGAATAATGAACATTAGAAAAAAAGTGTATTCCTAACTGTTGGGATGAAGAGATCGCCATGCATCGCAAAGACCAAAATCACTCATGTATTGTTGTCAGGGTTAGGTTATGGATTGTTGACCCAAAAGCAGAGGCTGAGAGCCAGAGATGAATTTCTTGTGGATTTAATGATAGTTAACTGAAATACAGAGGCAGGTAATCCAAAAAATCCAAATATGAAACAAAGTCCAAACAAACAGGCAACCAGGAATCCAAAATCCAAAATGAAAACAAAGTCCAAACAAACAAGAAACCAGGAGTCCAAAAATCAAAACCTGAAAACAAGTCAAAATGAACCAGAATTCATGGAGACATCAGGGGAAGGAGGAAGGCTCAGAGAGACGGAGTTGGAGGAAGTTAGATGAGGACCCAGCAAAGAATAACTGAACAGCAAGAGTATTTATAGGAGACGGAAACAAAGAGAGGGCTAATGAGCAGACTGGGAGCAGGTGTGCACAGAGCAGGAGAGGAAAAGAGCTAGGGAAAAAGGAGAACACAAGAGGGCAGCAGATGGCAACAAATAGAAACCTAGAAAACTGAAATAACCAGAAAACAAAATAAACTAATAATTAAACCTCAAACCCAAAAAAACAAGGAGCAAAGTAAAACTGGATACTCAAAAGAAAACATAACAGAACCAAGACGGAGACAATAACTGAGAAAAAACCAAAGAACACAACAAAATAAAACTTAAACCATAAAAAACTAGAAAACATGGAACAAAGCAAAACTGAATATCCAAAGAAAAACATAACAGAACCAAAACTCTAACAATTGTTTGTATTGTATTGAGTCCCTGTTGTATTTAACCTGTCTATTTCTCCATTTAGACCAAAGTTGAGGTCACCCCCAATAATTAGAGAACAGTCCCCATGCTTTGAAAGTGCATTTAAAAAGTTTGTGGAAGAATGAGGGGTTGTCAATATTTGGACCATATATGCTGACAATACATAACTTTTGGTTATGAATAGATATTTTAATTATGATAAATCTGCCTTCGGGATCTATAATTTTTTCTAATATTTTAAAACTGATGTTTTTTGGGGGGGATTGCTAAATTGCTACTCCTCTCTGTCTAGAGTTATAGAAGGCTGCAAACACTCTTGCAGTTTTCGCTGATTTATGGTTTTCTTGCAATAAGACAATATCGACATTTGATCTTTTAAGCTGGTTAAAAATCTTAAACTGTTTCTCTCCGGTGCCCGCTCCATGCACATTCCATGTCACAAACCTTACATTCACAATAGGTGTGAGTGAGAAGCTTAAAACTACATGCCTCTGAATAAATAGTTATACCTAGACCCAGGTAGCATCAAACCGTGTGCTTGTGATTGTGTGGACCACAGGGAAGAAGCAGACGAATAAGATAAAGGAAGACAGAGAATTAAGAAAGTGCAATGAGTAAGAAAAGGTGAAAGAAAAAGAACTGGGGCCCATGCTTCCTGTACCCAGCTGTGACTGACAGTCATACGGTGCTCACGTGCTCATTTCATTTATCACCATGATCCGTTCTATACACTTTTCAGAATTCTGACATTCTTCTCATATTATACTGAAATAAAATGTAAAAATGAGTTAACTTTTTTTATTTTTTCATTGGCCCTAATCCTCTTCCCTGGAGGCTGTTTAGTGACTCCAACTGCCTAAAAAATAGGCTTGAGGGCAGTGGCGGCTGGTGAAAAATATTTTTGGTGGGGCTGATAATTCCTTTACACAGATTCATTGACTTATTCAATTACACCAAACTTTTAAACATAAAATTAAAAATATATATAATCTGACAAACATTTAGTGAGTCACGTGTTGGTGACGTCACTTCCGCATTCCAACAACTCTGGCGTTTTAACCGCTTACTGAGCGTTGCCTCGCCAGACTGAAGATGACAAGTCCCCGTAGCATACACACGTACACCCCCCCACGGTTAACCCCACTGAAATATTAAGTGTGCATCCTCATTACGCCAGCAGGTAACCAGGAACAGCTTGTGTGTTTTAAGCTAATGGACCGCTACTGGGCTCAGCGCGAGTGTATTGGTCCTCACAAGCACAGTATAACAATGTGTGTGTGTGGTACGCAACGTTAGAGAGGTTGTTTTAAGTGACGAGGTGGATTCGTCACAATAACCATGACATGAAATTTTCATATCCTACAACAGGGATGTTCTTCTGGCAAACGGGTAGATAAATAAGGATCTCACCAAATTTGGTGGAAGCTGCATCTCGTTCGTTACATTCGCCATCGTCCCTCTAATTGTCTGCACCTGCACATTGGGTGCAGAAACCTGTTAAAGGGCAGTATTTTCAGCGCCCCAAGACCATAAAATTCTGAGACGCTCATTGGCCATTAAATTATTAAATTGACCTAGCAATAGTACATCATTGGCAGATTCTCTGCACATGTGGGGCAGTCTGATCAGCGCCCCAAGACAGAGACGGTAGGAGTCTGTCTGTGGAAAATCCATAAATGAATGACACTAGGTAGGGAAATGTAGTTTATATAATTTGTTTTTGCTTATAGGTACACACTCTAGAGAGTAAAACTGACATTTATGAGTTAATTTCTAAAAATATATTTTACGTTTCTCTCTTCTTATCAGGGAGGGCGGTGGGCCAGCGCCCCCTATGGGCCGGCCGCCACTGCTTGAAGGTAGACCCTTGAGTTACTGGTCTTCATTACTGTGGAACCAGCTTTTTCCAATGCTCAGAGAGGCAGTCTCTCCATCTCATTTAAATTATTGCTGAAAACATTTTATGACAGACCTTTTAGTTATGATTGATTCAGTTAGCTCTGAACCATCTTATAGCAGGTACCCCCTCAGTTGCTCCACCTGATGTATCTATCAGTTTTGCTGTTAAATTGTAAGAATAATGATAGACATACTACATATGTACATGCATACATATACATAAAAAAAAATTAAAATACTGTGGCAAGGTACACAACAGAGGGCCCAGGTTGGATTCAAACCCAAGACTTCAAGGTGAAAGTCATGCATTCTGACCAGTCAGCCAAAGGGATATCACTTGGCCAAGTAGCCAAGGCACAATATCGGTCGAAGGCATGGCGACAGGAAACCACACTGTCAAATCGAGTTACTCACTTATAATATGCTATTTACCAAGAATCATGTCCCCCACCCCAATATGCTATTTACCGATTTGCACTAAACAGAACTATGACAGAACCTACAGTAATAAAATCCCTGGAGGAAAAGCACCCTCTTCATTCAGTTTTCCTAGAGCAGGGATGTCAAACTGGTTCCATAAAGTTCCATGTAGCTGCCGGTTTTCTTTCCCACCAAGTAGTAGCACACCAGAGTCCCTTCATCTTGTCAAGTCAACATGTTAAGACTGGGCTCATTTGATGAGATAACTTTTTCTATAGGATGCTGCTAGAGAAAAGTTAAAGAGCAAAAAGATTTTTTTTTTTTAAATCAAATGTTATTTCATTTTCAGAGTTGAAAAAAAATGTGCAAAACAGCAACTCCCATTATATGGAGTGAAACACACACACACAAAAAATAAACTAAAGAAACAATAAACTTACAAAAAGAACTGTGTGAAATTGTTTTACTGTTGCAAATGTGGTTAATCATGTCTTCCCTTATATGTCAATCCTTTCACCCATTTTTTTGCAAATATATTTTCTTTTCTTTTAAAATTATACGTTAGATGTTCCATCACCTTTATATCCTCTATAATTGACATCATTGCTTGTAAGTGGGAGTATCAGACTTAAGCCAGGTCTTAGTAATAGTCTTCTTCCTAACCACAAGAAGAATCCTGATTAAATATTTTTCACTTACATGCACAGCACCCTCTAAATGACCAAGGTACAGCACAAGGCAAGATTTAGGAATGACATGACCCAAAACATCACAAAGAACTGTGTGAACATTTCCCCAAAAGAGTTGCATTTTGTTCAACTCCAAAAGATGTGTAGCAAACAGAAAAACTTGATAAAAAGAAAACTAAAGCAAACAATAAAGAAATACTTTCCTTACATCAGCCTTTCTAAATTAATTATGTATTAAAAGTATTATAAAAAGGTTTTGAAAGGGTTCCTAGAATAAGGTTACAATACAGGTCCTAAGTAAGATAAGTCCTCACTTGAATTTAATTGAATTGAACAATCATTAATTTATTTTCCCGAACCTTTGGTAAATGACAAGGCAAATGTTTGTGCTTAATCTCTGTTTCACAATGATAATGTTTTTTATCCAACATGTGACCTTGGGTGTACACAAGATGGGAAAACCATATCTTAAATAAAGGAATAAACTATGCCCTACTTTAGAAAAACTAACAGACCAATACTGCGGAAATAAGCAGGAGTTCCTAAATATTCCTGTTTCACCCAATCATAGTCATTAAGATTATATTTATATAACATTAAACCAAATATTCCAGATTGAAAAGTTTAAGGATACCAAACATAAAGTATTGATTTCTTTTTACTGTTCAAACATGTAATGAGTAACAGGCTGGTCTTAGTCCACTCCCCCACTTTGAACTTTTTCAACTTCTCTGAAATAAATTAAATGCATCTGCTATTTTATTACATTTCCAGTCTGTTCTTTCATTAGTCTGAAACATGGGGACTTCTCGCAGCTGGAGCTGTCTAGTTGCACTTCTGTATCTCCTCAGTTTGGGTAAGACATTTCTGATTAACACAGACTGCAGATTTTAAATGTAGAACATTTCCAGATATCTCACTAGCACAGTTACGGGATATCTGTTCAACCATCCCCAAGCCTAAAACTTAATCTTCTTTAATTAAATAAATTACAAAAAAAAGCTGCAGAGATGATGAACGGATTTCAATGCATGTTAGAAACCTTGACAGATTTTTTAAAAAATACTAACCTTTTTATACATGCAAAGTAACTTAGGACACTATATTTTTTAAATTTTTGCATTTTCTATGGGTAAATATTACTGTTGAAAAACTTAAACCAAGATGCATTCATCAAATTTTTTCTGAAGACTACAGGTACTTGATACAGTAAATCAATATGACTGCAGCAGTTTTAAGCTATTTTGAATTTAACAATACTAACTCATGATAGTAATAATTACTATCATGATAATAGTATATCTAACTAAGTAAATTTAAAATAAGAATATTTCAAATTGTTTCAATGTTTTTTAACCTACACATCTTTCAGGTTTTTTTTATTAATGTAAAGGCTGTGGACAATGTTTCACTTAAAGTTTAACCATACAGAACTAAAAAATCCATTAAAACCCAAAAGATGATTGGGATACCAAATTATTGGGATTCTAACTGCAACTTTTTACTGTGTGACTCCCTCTAAGTTGAGATACTATAACATCAAAACTCATATCCTAATAATGGTAAAACCTTCTTTGACTGATTAATAATATTCCTTTAGTGTAATCATCAAAATAATAAAAATTGATGTAACATTTAGCCAAAAAACCACAGTGTGAGTACCACACTGTTAATTTGAATACCCTAAAGGATTCAGATGCTGTATTCAGTTTAATCCCAAAAATAAATGACTCAACAGAGATAGAATTAACTTAAGGTGGGCAAACTGGGCATACACTGTACAAGGTTTTGCCCCTTTTGGCAAGACGTCCCAGATTAGAAATGTCCCCAACAATGCCGTAACTATCGGTAAGCTGAGTATGCAGTTGCTTAGGGAACCCAAGCTCTTAGGGGCCCTGTCACGGACACCTGGTTAGCCCCCTACGCAATTAAGGACTGGGACGTCTCTTTGCAGATGTGATGGTGCTAAAAATTGCTCTTAAACCCAGACGATATTATACCGCAACACGTGCCAGATTTCAACAGGTTGGTGAGCCGTTTAAGCACGACACCAATAGCAAAGCTGACAGTGGTACTTTTAATTACTATGTTAATAACTGTGTATAGTTCATTAGACGGTTGGTAAAAAATACACTCCTATTATATGTTTCAAACTGAAATAAAGATCTTAAAAGAACGATGTATTTGAGTATTTTATTTTTTACAGTAATACTTTGAATTATGGGTAATCCAGAGCGTAGATCAAAATCATAACCATTACTTACAATTTGTTAGCGACAATGGATACCAAAATGAGGTACTTAAGCGGGGGGTGGGGGTGCAGGGGGGTTGGCGGGTTGTACTTCATATGGGGCCCACCCATTTAACGTTGCTTACGGGCCTATTGTTTTGTCGTTATGCCTTTGGTACGCCTTTTACCGTTTTAATGAATGAGGGGGGAAATGTTATCGGTTGATATTGTAGTCGAAAAGAGCAGGTGAGCATGTTGTGCACAGAAAAGGCTGCTAGCTAGCTGGTTGGCAGCTGTTAACATATAGATGAGAAGCAGAGCCCACCACTTTTAGAACAGACAAGGAAGAACTGGAAGTTTGTTGTCACAAACGGTTGCAGCTGATGGGGAGCTGCCCTGTGTTATGGTAAGTGTGTTAATCTGTTTATTTGATTTGAATTGGGCATATCATTACGATAAATGTTTGGTTCATGAAAGGTAAAAAAAAAAAAAAATAGGGCTTTTGACCATTGGCTGCCGCTGGGATGAGTAAATAGGCTAGGATTATATTAACCAGAATGATTTTTAAAAAATCCTTGTAAAATGTTAATCTGGTAGGGTGGTTCTCCAGGAATCAACTAGGCTTGACCTAAAGATGATTTTAGAACTGATTGGTGACCTTGAATTTATATCTTTATATAGTTCTCATGTCCAACTGGTTGCAACTGACTTTTAGGCTCATCAAATACCATTCTGATGGGCCTAAAAGTCCTGCTTAACATGGGGGGGATGGCATCTGATTGGGTGTAAATATCATCAGGATGCATTACTTCTATTCATGGGTATGACATTTTTTAACGAGGTGTTCAGACCTGGTAAGTGTATGCAATTAATAACTAGAGATGTCTAATGTTGAAATTCTGTGTGTGTTGTTATATATGTTGCAACATCTATCTAAATGTTGACTAAATGACTAAATGTTCCAAAAACATCTGTCTGTCCATCCTTCCCTCCATCTGTCTGTGTATCCCTTTCTCCATTTAGTCTAACGTTTGATCGTTCAAGCTTTCAATAGTTCCCCTGTGGTGCGAGGAGAGGGCGGCTGTTACGCGCCTTCAGTGAGCATGCACGTTTTCTGCCGCTCGCTGTGCAAATATGCAGGGCAAACTGCATCTAATGGGAGAACATATTGGTTAAAATGGTTTCTTATATGTTGTAATTTTTCTGTAGTTTTGAAAGGACTTTGGACTACATCCTGTAGCTTACTTCAAATTAACGAAACGGCTGTGATCACAACTATGTGAACTATGGTGTATTTCCGCCGTGGGGCACAAAAATCTTTGCCAATTGTCTCCTGTTAAAAGTTGTACATGTGTAGTAGCTCCTCTGCAATCCAGAAGTATAGGATGGCTCGGGGCACAGAAGTGGTGTGCCCCGAGATGGCAGGAACTGTCGTCACAGTTATAGTGCAGGTGACTGACAGGTCGAATTGCGGATGGGAAATCTCTTAAACTTACCAAGAGAAGGTGGAGGTATATTACTTGCCAACCACCACTAAACAAAAGAAGAAAAAGAAGAGGTGAAATCATTTGAACCTGATCAGCCAAAGACCAATATGAATCAGCAGTCCAAAAACAGATGGGACAGTACAGTTGGTCTTTTTCCAGGACTTAGTTTAGCTACAAGGCTTGGCTAACTGTATGCAGCGAGGCTAACGCTTTATTCCTCTTTCCGTGCCTCCTTTTTCAAACGTCAGGATCTGACCAAGCATGGATACAGACAGGTAGGACTTATTTAAAGCATATTTTAGAAAAGGCAAAGAAGAGTGAACAATCTGGGATTCACATGGTAAATAAAGTATTATAGTGTAGTTTTTCTAGATGTTTGTTAATTTGCATAGTTGCTTCTAAATAAACACGTTCTCAGAAAATAAATAATTTTTATATATTAAAAAAATATAAAGCTGACTAATAGCTTCTCCATTATTAAACGGGTAAATATTTTTTTTAGGTTTGTGAGACCATATTGGACCATGCAAAACATAGATTTGCCTTCACAAATCCTCGAAAGGGCAAAATGTATGTACAGTACAAAATAGTCATTCTAGGCAGGGAAATATTCTTTGTTTAGTTCTGTTGTTTATTTTTTTTACAACAAACATGTACCAAAAAAAGCAACCTAATGTTATGTCTCTTTCTTTAGGTGTTGAGATTCTTTGTGATTGTACTCTGAAAGGTGTGGAAATAGAGGGAGGTGAATATAGGCTGTCCAAGAATTTGGAGCCAGGCAGCCAACTCATCTACTACTGTCAGGATGGCTACTATCCCGACCCTGCTTTGACTCGCATCTGCCTGCCTAATGGGTCCTGGAGACCCTCACCCAGAAAGTTTCAACCGCAGAAATGCAAACGTAAGCCACACAGCTTTTGATGGTTCAGAATTTACCTAAGACTTCCTCATCTAGATAACAGCTGACTTTCTTTCCTAAAGGTGTTGAATGCCCTGACCCAAATGTGTTACAAAATGGAAACGTCTTCCCTGGTCAGGAAAAGTACTACGTGGGCGATGTAACATCATATAATTGCTACTCTGGATACACAATGAGAGGCTCGCCCAATCGGGTTTGCTTACAAAATGGGAAATGGAATGGCTCCACTCCAATCTGCAGCCGCGATTGTGAGTCCTGAGCAACTTTACTTTTTTATTTGACTGTGTTTTAATATGTAATGAAGTTTTTTTTAATGAGACAAACAGACACATTCGGAGTTCATTGAAATCTGTACAAAAAGTATTTTAAACAGGGCAAAATTTGATGATGTGATAAAGTGTCAAAACCTAAGTACATAAGTTTTGTGAGTACATTACATCATTTGATTACAGTACATGATATATGTAATACGCATTTGATCACATTTTATTCATAATAATATCAAACATGGTGTGTGTTATTTTGGTTAATCTCTTTATTGCAAATTTTGAGTAAAAAAATCCACTTCATTGCCTACTTTGGGAAATAATAGAGGTCATAGTATTTTATTTTATGTTCTTTTCATAGCCGGAGATGCCTGTCCTGATCCTGGAGTACCGCCTGGAGCCTCAAGAGTGGGAAACATGTTTGGGATTGACGATAGAGTGAAATACAGCTGTAATGGCAACCTGTTTTTGATTGGCTCTAAGGCGAGAGTGTGTCAGGAGAACGGCCAGTGGACAGGAATAGAGCCAGCATGTTACTGTAAGATTTGATGATACCTTGATAGTATATAAAGACTGAACAAGTGATATGTGAATTTGGTGCCTTTAGAATTCAGACATCTAATATTTCTTAAATAAGGGATGCACTAATACAAACCCGCAGCATATATTAATAATACATGAACCATTTAAGCAATGAATATATGACAATACTTTCAGTGACTCCATACACTAAGTATATGTAGTTTGTCCTCCATACAACTAGCATTTAATTGAAAAGTAGAAGAAAATCCAATCAATAGGGTTTATGAATTTTACAAATTGAAATGTTGTGAAATGTCTGTTAAATAGCTAATATGTTTAAGAATCTATTTTTCAGAATATTTAAAGAGATCATATTTATTAGCTTTGTTAAGCCTCAAATAAGGAAGAAGCAGCTGATTAGTCAGTAACTTCATTTGGAAGGTATTAAATTGATCTCAGGAAATGAATTAAAAAATATTGGTGTTATTTTTTATTTAAATCCCATGTCAAACAGGTTTCTAGAATTTCCTTTTTTTAATTTTTGGAATATTGCAAAAATTTTGAATATCATATCCAGGGGTGTTGTTAGGAAACTAGTTCATGCATTTGTTTTTCCGTAAAAATTCAAAAAATATCCACTGGACTTGGTTTTCAAGATTTGAAGACGTTTCGCCACCTCTCCAGGAAGCTTTCTCAATTCAAATGTCTGGATCCGCAGTGAGTTTGAGTCTTATATGGACAAGGCCTTGTATTGCTTGGAAACATGCAATGGTAACCGATGAATGGGTCGTTTAGTTCCATCGTTAGCCTGTAATATCTGAACCTGTCTATGATTCTAGGGGTCGGTCGTTAAAGGGGGGATTGCCATTAAGGGGGGGATTGTCTCCTGTAATACCTGAAACCTGTCTATGATTGTTAAGGGTTGGTCGTTAAGGAGGTATTGTTCACCGGCTGGAGCGGGTAGGTCCCTCGTTCCTCTGTGGATGGGGGGGGGGGTTTGGTGATATCTGGAAGGGATCATGTCTATGATTGAATTGTATGTTTTTGGAAGCTGGAATCTGAGTCCACCACCTCTGTTTAAATTTGGTTTTTCTCTCTTAACATAGATGGCTTCCTTCACGCCCCTCTCAAACCACCTATTTTCTTTATCCATATCCTGGATAAAGAAAATAGGTGACATGCATTTGTTACTTTAAAGGCTGGACTATTGTAGAATGGGAGGCAAATCTTTTAGCTATCAGGCTCATCTCCTATGAAACCAACTACCAGTATTTGTCAGTGAGGCAGACATCCTGTCTACTCTAAGGCTCATCTTTTGTATCTCTGCGTCTATCTGTATGTCTCCTTCTGTCTCATCAGCCTGGTTGTGCTGGAGGTTTCTTCCTGTTATAAGGGAGTGTTCCTCTCCACTGTCACTACATGCATGCTCGGTGTGAGGATTCCTGTCGAGGCAATGAGTTAATGTATTCAGCTCGTTTTCCTTAGATAGAAAACGTCAAACCAATCTGACTTTATGATCTGTTCTCTGTAAAAACTATTGAGAGGACATGTTGTAAATTTGCACTATATAAATAAACTTAATTTCATTGAAAAGCTTTGGATGACTTGAACTATCGACAGCTTTTCCCTAAACTTGTCAAGATTGTTGGCACCAGTGCTGTTTTAATTCATCATCCAACACACCTGTCAGCTTTGCCCCTTTTCTTCAGTTCCACCTGCTCACATCTCTATATAACAAGCTTTCAGACCAGTCACTACACTGTGTGCAGAATTATTAGGCAAGTTGTATTTTTGAGGATCATTTTTATTATTGGGCCACAATTGTTTTTTCTGTCATGATGGGTAAACAAAGAGGCCCAAAATGCAGAACACTGACGACTCAGAGGAAAAGTTTAAACAGTTTATTGAGGAACAAACATGAAAGAATGAACAGTTGAACTGGTTCTGGTCTGGGACTGGTTCACTGGAGTCTGTGAGAGAGACAGTACTGTTAGCGGAGGCTTGGTTGGGATTGATCTTGGTTTTGTTCAGGTTTGTACCTTGAGGTGCGTAGAAGTGGCTTTGGGAGCGGAACTGTTGGGTCCGGAGATGACTTGGTTTTGCAGAGTCCGTAAGCTGTTTCAGCATCTTACTTCTAGAGATGAATTTGACCTTGGCTTGAGTTTTCAGCTCAGTATCCAGAGCTGCTTGGAAATCCAGAGTGTGAGTCTTCAGGTTTGGCTCGGAGGGCAGGCTCGGCAGGTTAAGCTCTTCCAGAGCTTCACAGGAGAAAAACAGGTAACCAACTGATTAAGACACTGCGGCGTCGAGGCAAGGTCTGAAGACAGCTTATGTAGTCTGGTCCTCCAGATGAGATGATCAGCAGCAGGTGCGCAGACAGCTCAGCTGAGAGGATCCAGGGCGGACTCTGCTGGAGAAAGTTGGTATTTCTCCAGCTCCCAACATTTTCAATCATCCCAAAAGACTCCTTTGTATCAAAGTTGTGTTTTTTTTTTTAGATTTGGCGATTTTATGAGGTTGTCTGTGTGTTCAGGTAAATATTACTGTGCAGAATTGTTAGGCAACATAATAAAAAAGAAATATATACCCATCTCACTTGTTTATTTTCACCAGGTAAACCAATATAACAACTCAAAATTCAGAAATAAACATTTGCGACATTCAAAAACAAAAAAATCAGTGACCAATATAACCACCTTTCTTCACCATGACGCTCAAAAGCCTTCCATCCATAGTTTCTGTCAGTGTCTTGATCTGTTTGCGATCCACATTGCAGCCACCACACCCTCCCAGTCACTGTTCAGAGAGGTGTACTGTTTTCACTCTCTGTAGATCTCACATTTCATTAAGGACCACAGGTTCTCGATGGGATTCAGATCAGGTGAACAAGGGGGTCATGTGATTATTTTTTCTCCTTTTAGACTTTCTGGCCAGTCACGCTGTGGTGTATTTTGATGGGTGTGACGGAGCATTGTCCTATAAGAATATCATGTTTTTCTTGAATGATGGCGACTTCTTCTTGTACCACTGTTTGAAGAAGGTGTCTTCCATAAACTGGTGGTAGGTCTGGGAGTTGATCTTGACTCCATCATCAACCCGAAAAGGTCCCACAAGCTCATCTTTGATGATATCAGCCCATACCAGTACCCCACCTCCACCTTGCTGGCATCTGAGTCGATAAGTAACTTGCTGCCCTTTGTTGATCCAGCCTCGTGCCCATCCATCTGACCCATCAAGATTCACTCTCATTTCATCAGAACAAAACACCTTGGAGAAATCAGTCTTCAGATATTTCTTGGCCCAATCTTGACGTTTTGTCTTGTGTGTCTTGTTCAAAGGTGGTCCTTTTTCGGCGTTCCTTGCCTTGGCCAGGTCCCTGAGTATTGAGCACCTTGTGCTTTTCGGCACTCCAGACATGTTACAGCTCTGAAATATGGCACAACTGGTGGCTAATGGCTTCCTGGCTTATGATCCTTCTCAATTCATGGGGAGTTATTTTACGTCTTCTTTTTTCGACACACTTCTTGCGCCTCTGTTGGCTATTTGCCATGAACCGCTTGATTGTGCAATGATCCTACTTCAAAAGCTTGGTAATTTTCAAACTGCTGCACGCCTCTGACTTTTCAGAGTCTGTCAAATCTCTTTTCTGACACATTTTACCAAAGAAAACGAAGTTGCCTAATAATTAACCTGTCAGACACATGAGGACCCAAATTTGGGTCCTCAGCACTCGCCCCTACAAGATCAAGTGTCCAAGAGGTTAAGGACACCTTATATAGGGTGTTGATGTCATTAGGCCACACCCCTTCTCATTACAGAGATGCTCACCACCTGATTTCCTTAATTGGTAGTTGACTTTCAAGCCTATGCAGCTTGGAGTAGGACAACATGTATGAAAAGGATGATGTGGTTGAAATACTTATTTACCTAATAATTCTGCACACATTGTAGTGCTAGATTATTATGAGCCATTGGTAAGTTTAATTCAGCATTTCTGTTATCTGTCTGCCTGCCTGATTGTCTGCCTGCCTGATTCTGATCTGATTCTGCCTACTGATTCTCTGAGCATGCCTGAACCCTATCGGATCTATCTAAGTATGTTTTTGGATATTTTACCTGATTTCTGAACCCTAACCTCGCTCCCGGATTCTCCCCTGGATTGTCTCTGGTTTTCAGATCACCTGGCTCTGTCTCTGACCCCACTCTCAGATTTCCTTTGGATGGTCTCTGGATCTCGGATCCCCTGGTTCTGACTCTGGAGCGACTCCTGGATTCAGTACTCTGGTTTGTCCCCTTGATCATTCTGCCTGTCTCTGCTCTCAAGGATCTGATTCTGTGCATTACCCTTGACCAATGAGTAAGTGACAAAGAAGGATTCCTCCAAACAAATCTGGATGTATTCAAGAATTCCCAGAGATTCACCAGTGATGTCACATGCCAAATGGCCTTTTCAGAAACTCTCGGGGTTTGCCTCAGATTCCAAGAAGGTTAGTGAACAAGAATTCAACATTAGAAACATTGGCTGGTGTTTCTGCCCAGTTCCTTCACTGTCCAATCTCCTTCCAGACGTTTGGGTTGCTGGCTCTGGTGAATCTCTCCTGACCCTTGGCAGTTTCATATTTTAATAAACTGTTCAAACATCAACTGTTGTTTCTGGTTGAACTCTGGGTCTTCCATTTCTGGTCATTACAGAATAATCTGGCCAAAGATGGACGGTGGACCCATTGCCAGATCAACAGTGGCATGCAGCATGGAAAATTATATTAGCAAACTTGAATCTGGTATCAATGAGATTCGAGCATACTTATGTAAACAAACCCAGTTGGACTCTTCACTTCTGCATTCATCAGCTGCCCCTAGTCTGCCACGCATTTCCAACAAAGAGTGTTGACTTTACCTCCTGAACTGTTTAGAGGTGATCCGGATCAATATCGAGCTTTGCTGACTCAGTGTGAGATCCATTTTGAGCTTCAGCCTACCCTACTGATCTAGCTAAGTTGGTTTATGTTATATCTCTGCTAGCAGGCAAAGCTAAGTTATGGGGCAATTCTGAAGGACAAAACAGGTAACATATTTGCCAGTCCTACCTGAAATTTTCTCAAGAACTGATTCAAGTTTTTGAATCTGTTCTTTAGACAAAGAGATAGGTACATTTCTGATAATAATATTGATTACCATTTTTCTGACTGGTTTCTCCCTGAAACAGTTGGAGGATCTAGCCACCAGGATTGAACTCCTTTTTACAGAACGGAAAAAAGAACATTCTTTCAGACCTCTGGTTCATTAAAGTCAAACTCCAGTTCCTGACCCAAAGACGCATGTAGGAAGAGAATCCACCCCTGAACCCATGCAGCTGAGGAAAACAAGAATGTCTAAGGAGGAATGAACGCAGACATCAGTTGAATGTATGCCTCTACTGTGATAGTAAGGGGCAGAGTGTCAACCTGTCCAATAAAAACGTAAGGCTCTGTATAGGAGGGGTGAACTCTACTGAGCTGAACTAAGATGTCCACTTCTCCCTCCCTGACTTTCCTGTTTATCTTTCAACAAGGTCTGTTTCTCACAAAATCTTTGCTTTTATTGACATCGGAGCAGACACAGAGTTAATGGATGAACTGTTTGCCAAGAGACTGGGCATTCAACTTTTACCTGGAACTTGCTCTCACGAGATTCCTGCTTTTGCTGGATACCCCCTAAACAAATCGCACTTGGTGGTCGTGGAAATTAGCCTTACTATTGGAGGTAATCATAACAAGAAGATATCCTTCATGAATATCCAGTCGTCTCATGTGCCAGATGTCTTGGGAATTACTTGGCTTAAGAAACATAACCCTCAGATTGATTGGCAGAAGCTAGAAATGAATTGGGCTTCCACATGTTCAGAGAATTGTGTATCTCCAGCTTATCCTCATCAGATTCTAAGAAAGTTAAAGAGGAGATTTACCCCAAAATGTCTAAAGTTCCACCCGAGTACCATTATTTGAGAAAGGTGTTCAATAAAGCCATGGCCACCAACTTACCTCTTCATTATCCTTTTGACTGTCTCATAGATTTTCTTCCTGGAATGGCATCTCCTGGAATGGCATCTCCTGGGGGCAGACTGTACTCTCTCTCATTGCCCAAAGCTCAGGCCATGAAGGCCTATATTGAATATTCACTCAAGGCTGGTATTATTTGGTATTTTTCTTCTCCTACTGGAGCCGGTTTCTTTTTTGTTAAGAAGAAGGACAGACTTCGTCGCCCCTACATTGATTACAAGGGACTAAATGATAAAACAACACAAAAAATGTTTTCCCCTGCTGCTTATTGACTCAGCTTTTGATCAGATCCAAGGAGCAAAGATCTTCACTAAACTTGACCTCCACAATGCAAACCATTTAGTTAGCATTAGAGAAGGAGATAAGTGGGAAACTGTTTTCAGCACATCCACTGGAAACCACCACTAGCTTACATGTTATCACATAATCAAAGACTAAGTTTCTCTGGAACGTCCAAGCAAAGAAGGGTTTCTGCAAACTGAAATTGATGTTTTTCTTGGCTCCTGTTCTTCAGTCACTGCATCCAGAGAGATAGTTTATAGAACTTTTGGCTGTTCAATTAGCCCCGGAGGAATTGAGAGACTGGCTGGAGGGGGCTAAAGAACAATTTATTCTCTAAAGTGATCACAAGAATCTTGTGTACCTCCAGTCTTACAAGTGCATTAATCTTGTCAAGCTAGATGGTCTCTGCTCTTTGGAAGGTTTAACTTCTCCCTGTCTTACAGACCCAGGACTAAGAATGTGAAACCCAATGCTCTCTTCTGGATGTTTGAGACCTTGAAGTAGTAGACCGGTGGTGGCAGAGAGTTGATCCTTCTTGATTCGATTCATTTTGGCTGTGACTATGGTTGATCTGGAGAGGGGGGTAAGAGATGCCACTCAAAATCAAGATGTCCCTAAGGCTTGCCCTAAGGATATTCTGTTTGTTCCTTACCACCTGATTGGAAAGATTCTTCATTTCTGTCAGAGCTCTGGGCCGTCATCCTGGAGTCAACAAAACAATCCAAGTCATTCAGTCTCAGTTGGCAGCATGTAATCAATGCAAATATGCTAAGTCCTGAAGGAGACCTCCTGCTGGACATCTTCGCCCACTGCCTGTACCCTCTCAACTTTGGTTCCATATCACGATGGATGTCATCACTGGACTACCTATGGTCCCCAATTTGTTACTAAATATTTGAGGGAGTTATGCTCTTCACAGGGGATTTCTGTCAGCCTGTCCTCTGGATTTTATCCCCAAGCTGATGGCCAGACCAAGAGGGCTAACCAAGACATTGAAACCACATTCTGCACCATTTGTGAGTCGGATCCCACCAAGTGGTCTGCAATCCAGCACCACTGGTCTCTCCCCTTTTTATTTGGTCTTTGGATTTCGACTACCGGTGTTAACCATCCAGAAAAAAAAGGGCCAAAGTTCTGTCAGCCCATATGACCTCAGTGGGGTGCCAGCAAGTATGGCGGAGAGCCAGAAAGACCATGTTCAAAACAGTTGCAGCCCAGTCAAAAGCTGCAAATCCCTATTGTCTAACGGAAACACAGTACCAAGTGTGTCAAAAGGTCTGGCTCTCCACCCGGGAATACTGGCACCTCACTTCATCAACCCATTCCCTAACTCTATGACGGTGAACCCAATTACCATCTGTCCTCATCTCCCTAGAACCATGGGAATCCAACCAATGTTTCATGTAAAACCTTCAAAGATCTCAAGGATCTCGGATCACCTGACTCTGGCTCTGGCTCCCGTACTCTGGTTTGTCCCTTTGATCATTCTGCCTGTCTCTGCACTATAGTAAGTCTCTGACAGTTAAATTCAAATATTTACAGTTGTGACAGCAAAAAAAGTTTAAGAGGTATGGTTTTGTAAACAAATATCATGATATTGTCCCTTGATCTGTACTCTGACCTCTTCTAACATTTACTTTTCAGAATCTCACATGCATCTAATACCACCACTGTGACAGATTTATAATTTAATTTAGAACAGAGCTGATAAAATGAAAAAAATAATATTTTGGAAATACCAGGCAAACATTTGATTTTTTGTTTTTACTGCTTCTGTTTTTGAATCACGCAATAAAACTTAAAAGATCACAAATGTCTCATTAACTCCATTTGCAAGTGGAAACCTCTGTAATGGATCACTTGTCTTCTCTTGACTGAATCACTAAAGTATATCTTGTGTTTTGCTTCCTCTTTCAGTCAAGCACACATATGACACCCCAAAAGAGGTTTCAGAAGTATTTGGAAGTGCCATCAAAAAGATCCTAACCATCAGTCAGTCCCTCAGTAAGTTCCTAAATACTTTTGATACTTCCTAGTAACAACTAATTGTTCATGTAAAACGAGAATAGAAGCGTGGAAATAATGCTAATGACTTACTCATTAAAATCTCTTGTTTTACAGATGATATCCAAGAAGGGAGATCAATCAGGATTTCCAAAAATGGGACTCTCAATATCTATATTGCTATCGACGTTTCTGAGAGTACCAACAAAGCTCATTTTAATCAGTCAAGAGATGCTGTTATTACTCTGATTAAAAAGGTGAGACACACAAAAGTATATAGTGGTGGGTGTCAGGGACTAAACATAAATAAGCACAAAAGGTTGTCAAAAATTGGAAACAAACTTTGATTTAATCATGTCAAAAAATTGTTAACAAAGGCTCAGACAGCAATAGAAAATAACTTCAATATTAAATAACATTAATTTGAGCCAAACTCAACTGAGGTCAACTGAACAGTAACTAACTTAAATAAAAACTGACCTACTAATAAAGAACAGAGGCTGCTTAAATAGGGGTGGAGTAACCTAAAGTTGCCCCATGAGGGAGGCACAATATAACAGAGAAGCAACAAATAAAAAAAACCCATGCAAAACTATAACATAGTAAACAAATAAAACAGCTCTTTAACTTAGCACAAATAATAAGTGAATATTAAGATTACAAAATAACTAAGGTCAACTTAAACAAAATCCCCCACCCCTCAGTTCTTTGGGAAAGTGGCTCCAGCTGCTCTGAATTAGCAAAACCTCAAAGAAAAGGACAACTATTAACGAACCAGAAAAAAAAATGCCTCTGCACTCAATTGGATAGACCTAAAACCAATAAGAGCAATGGAGTGCGTGACGTATTTTAAGCGACGCATAGTTGTTGTCAACAAAAATCAAAGCGTGCAGTTGCACGCCTAGAATAAGCCTTGATCGCGTTTCTCTGTTCCTCTTTTTAAATTAATTTGCTGTTGATATCTTCTAGAATAGACCTAATAGCAGAATCTACACACCTCAACTCTCCAGCGGCAGCCATTGTTGTTGTCATCCAAGCGCGCTTTGGTGACGTGGTTGATTACGTTACTGTTGATCATCTCTCCATCGTCGTATAAAGCCCGCCCTGACAATTTGATTGGCCCACCAGATATTGTGCGAGCATACTCGCGCTACCATTGAGCAATGCCAGACCGAACTTCCCGACCTCAAACGTTGTGGGCAGGACTAAGTTTGGAATGGCACCCAGGCTAGAGCAGTACTGCTATCACCATAGTTTTCCGCTTGATTTATGCATATAAATAGCTTTACTATGATTAGGCAGGGAGTATTACAGATTATATGGACATTGCAATGTAAGTAGAACAGGAAGGAAAAACATGAAAAAGGAGAAAAGATGAAAGAAAGAGGAGATAAAAGCGAAACAACAATAAAAGCGTCTTCTGTCTGCTTCATCACCTGCAAAGAGATGTAAAAAGAACAGCACAACCAACGGATATAGTATAAGAGATACAATAAAGTGGCACCTTGAAACCATTGCTGAAGTATATCTAGTATGGTTTAATCTGAAATGTATACTGTGGTAGCTGAAGATAAGAATATGTGCTTTCTGTTTGGAAGTGAATCTCTAAGTACCTGGAACCAAGAACCTGTAGTTGTTTTGAGAGTGAACTTGTGCATGTAAAGGTAATCCAATGGGAAAATGCTCAATAGTGGTTTTGAAGAGCCAAAGAACCCCCCCCCCCCCAGGTGCCAGGGGACCCACCAGATGCCCAAAGGGATCCCAAGAGCAAAGGCGCCCAAGAGGAGCCAACCCAGGAAATCCGCCCCCCCACCAAGGGAAGAGAAGAGACCCGAGGAAATCCCACAGCCGCAGGGACTCGGGGGCCCCCAAGCACCGAGCACCACCAATCCAACAGCGGGCCAAAGCACCAGCCAGCATAGGAGGGCAGGACGGGGGGAATGGGCTTCACACTTAGCAGAGACTTGAAATATTCTTGGGAGACGGAACAGTTCAGACCCGAACCTTACAAAGAAAAAAAAATGTTAATCGCGACTTCCCACCCCAGTGCCCCAACTCGCAACAAACAGACTCTTCAAAAAAAATGAAAAAAAAATGCGGACAGATAACATAAAATTACATCCAATAAACCCAGAACCAAGGACTCGGACTAGCGGATGACCTACTAGGTGATAAAGAATCTTAAACTTGACTATTTAGGTGTCATCGATAGTCTTATATAAAAAGTTTTAAGATTAATTTGCAATGGAAAGGTCATCTGTTCTGAAACTTTTTGTTGCCTTCTGATATGCTGATTGTGCAGATTTAGCAAGACAGTGCCTGGAATGATGTTATGTTATGATGACTCTGCTGATTGCAGGTGGTGTTTAGGGGTCTAAGGATGCATGGGGGGGGGACCACAGAGTGTTGACGGATGTTTGCAATAAAGTTACTGAGTTCTTAAAGCTCTTTAGAAAGGTAGCAGTTAGTGCTGTTAATCTGGACATCTAATCAATGAATGAAAGGACTACTATACAGTACAATATAAAGAACTACTAGAGGTCAGAGGAGTCTGTTTGTACATAATAAAAAGAGCATTTTGTTTTCGGTAAACCCACTGTGTGTATGGGCTTGTTAGACAGTTAGGTCTCATTATGCATGAAGCTTTTATTCAGTGTCCGCACACTAACAGACTCATTTGACATACAGTACTCCGTCCAATTTGGCTTCCAAAACTGCTGCCCATTAGAGGTAAATTTAATTATGAATTATGAATCACTGATGTTTCTTGGCTTGAGGCTCTTGGCTCATTGTCAAAGAAATGGCCCTGCTCATACATAGATCATTTTCTTTACACAATAACAACCATAAGGAATGAAAAAAAACAGCCACACTGGTTTAACAAAGCATGTCATGGAAACCATTCAAGCTAACCTGTGCTCATGAAGGTGTATCAGAAATGTATAGAAGAACCAAACTGATTTGTTTCCACAGATCTCCTCCTTCAGTGTGTCACCAAACTACGATATCATCTTCTTCTCGTCTGACATTTACAGGGTGGTCAACATTCTTGATTTTTACAACACAATAAAACTAAATTCAGTTATAGAAAACCTGAAAAACTTTACAGTAGGAAGTAAGTCTAACACAAGTACTATGTCATCTTTTTTACTATAGCAAGACTGTCGTTTCTGGTTTAACATTGTGTTCTTATGTGTTTTTTTTTTTTTTTTTTAAGACAAGAACACTGGAACTGATCTGAACCTGGCCTTCAAAACATTTGAGGTTCAAATGGGTTTTATAAAGGAACGAGTTGGAGAAGAGCGATTCAAAGATCATCGGCATGTCCTGATCTTTTTCACAGATGGTAATGAGCTTGTTTCATAATTTATCAGCAGCACTACTGTTAATGAAACCTATGATACCTTAAGGCTGGCATAATAATTTCTGGAAACTTTCTGCCTTACTGAGATCAGCATCCATTTGTTGTGCTTGATCATAAGGATGCTTCCTCTTTGGTCTTACTCATTTTTATTTTTATTTTTTGTCTAGATGAGAAAAACAAGATGTCATACTTAAAACACTTCTAAAAAGTGGTTATAATTATTGTATACATAGGTTTGAATAGTTGGATGGGTGGTGGTTTTTCGAGGGGGGCAGGGGTACCAAGGTTTTTACTGAACAAAGTTACTGTATGAAAAAGTATGTTTACTTTTTCACAATTTTCTAGGAATAGCAATAAATTTTATTTTATTATTATTTTTTTTAATCTGTCTTACAAGTAAAAGCCTATTTCTCCAGGTGGCTACACCATCGGTGGTTCTCCTGAACCTACTGTTGCTAGAATAAAGAACATGGTTTACATGAATCAACATGATTCAGCTAGATCAAGAGAGGAATATCTTGGTAAGTTTCCTGCTTAGTATTTTATCTTAAACATTTTGAAATTACCTGGAGCTGTAAGTGCAGCAAGGTAAAAACAATTGTCTTTCTTTCTACAATTTCACAATAGTCAATGTGTTGTGTTGTTATAGAAAATACCAATGAAGTTTGTTTCAGTTGTAATGCGAAATTTAAAACTTACAAAATTTTTAAGCTTAGGAATACTCTGCAAATCCTCTGCATTTTGAAATGTTAGTGAAACACTAACCTGTTACCACTTTTCAGACATCTATGTCTTTGACATTGGGACTGAGATCTTTAATGAAGACCTGCAACTCCTCACTACAGGAACAGGAGGCAGACATTACTTCATATTGAATGAAATTTCAGAATTACTGGAGACCTTTGATAATTTAATTGGTAAGACCCTTACAAAAAGGAGGAGCAACATAAATCCTGTGTGATGGATGAGTGAGTATGTGCATTCCTGTGGTGTTTTCTCCATAATTCCTCCTTCAGCAGTAATTTAACTCAGGGGAGAACTATGATCATAAATGGGGGTCTGGTTCCTTCTCTAGTTTCCAAAAGTAGCAGAGACAAGCTGCTGCTCCTGATGTGGAGGAATATACTGAAGCATCCTGGTGGACTGGTATTGAGTGCTTAAATTAATTGAGTGAATATATTCATGGGCCATAAAGACTGAATGACTGAAGAGAATGAATGTAATATTATGTATGTTTGCACTACTTTAATTTGTCTTTAGAAATATATTAATGAATACATTTTGCTTGTACATACAAATGTATTCTCAAGTTTTTAACTCCTTTTAAAGTTTCTGAACACTGACATTATAGTCAAAGACCATTATTTGTACACAAACATAATGAATAATGTGGAATTGGATTCTGATTCTACGGTTGAAATTCAGTAAAGAGAAGCAACCACCAATATCGGAGGCTAGCACTATAGTTTGTATTTATCCAGTATGAATTTGCATTTTGGTTCGCTCCTTTTTAATGCAGATGAAAGTGAAGTCGTCGGACTGTGTGGTCTTCATAGAGATTATGAAACCACAGGGGACAAAATAGACAAGAGGAGAAGATATCCATGGCTGGCTTTCGTTCTCCAGGTTGTACAATTTATCAATCAGTTAACTATTCAAAGGGTGTACATAATAGAGCAGAAAATAATTAAAAAATGTAATATATATATATATTTGAAAACTATGTTATGAAATGATATTGTTGCAAGGCTACTTGTATATCAGAACGAAAACCTAAGAACCTCTGTTGCTTACATTACATCCTTATTATCTTCACCAAGGAGGTCATGTTTTTATCGCCTTTGGTTTGTCTGTTTTCCCAAAAAAAAAAAAAAATTATGAAGATTCAGTGAATAAAGATATTAACTTAAAGTGGAGGTCACAATATGCCGGGGGAAATTAGCTACTTGGTGGAGGTCTCCACTATCCTAGTGCTTTTTTAGTTTTCTTTGAGAGATTTTCATCTAGTCTAAATGAATAAACTCAGCATAAATATATGAAAAATCAAACATAAAAATCTACACTTATTATATTGCTTTCCTTTATAGTTTCAGGAGACAGGACGAACAATGTGCATGGGCTCACTGGTGTCGCCTGACTTTGTCCTGACTGCTGCTAGCTGCTTCCTCTTTGGAGCTCTACCAGAAAATATAAGGATCGACATCGAAGATGGAGGCAAAAGAGGTAATGAAATATGCTCACTGATGACCTTATCATTGACTAAACAAACCAAAAACCTCTAACTTATTTAATAAACAGCTGTAGGGCTATTAATTACTGGTTATTTTCAGTGGATTTCACAATGAAAAGGAAATTATATTGCTACTGACCAAAGATAACAGTTTGTCTGTATGATATAGATGAATTAAGTTAAATATTTGCAGAGAAAAAAGTGAAAGAAATCAAGCTGCACAGAAACTATAACCGCACTGCCAAAGTAAACGAGGGAGTTGCTGAGTTTTATGACTACGACGTGGCTCTTATCCGACTGGAAGAACCTGTGAGGATCTCTGAAGTTGCAAGGTATTTAGATTTTGTGTCATTAAAAACTTGGCTCAAATTTAAGTCTTTTGTTAATATAGCAGATTTCTACAACCTCCCCTTTTTTATCAAAATCTTTCCAGACCAATATGTATCCCTTGCACCCAGGAGACCAGCGATGCTCTTAACCTGGTTGGCGAATCAACATGCAAGCAACAAGGTCAATGCTCTGCTATCTAAATCTAAAACTGGATATTTACGTACACTGTAGTGTTAGGTCACTGATTTCTAACATTTTAGCTTTATAGTGGGATGGGTACATTTTAAGGCGACCTCACAAAGTATCATGAATAACTAATGCAGGGAGAGATGCACATCATAAAATGAGGAAATACTGGAGCAACATCTCTAGATGCCAGAATTAGACATTCCAATTGGATAACAACTCTAAACTGACCACTAAAGTGCTTTAAGAACACAAAGTTATTCTTAGTCAGTAGATAAAAAGCCCTGATCTAGTTATACCAAACAATTATTTTCAGGTCTGTAATCAGACTTGGAAAGGTGAGAAGAGAGGCAATGAAACCTGACGCAGAGGAAAATTACAGCAAGCTATTTATGAAAAGCTTTGTGGAAGAATAATCCAAAATTTTGACACAATTATTATTTTAAGAAACTTTAATAAAATAAAGGCTTAATTCTTTCAGAAATTAAAACATTGAAATCCTACTTTGAATTGGGTATTGTTATCCGAGTAATAAAGCTGAATCAGTTTACTTTTACTCCCTATATTTGCATACAAATATCTGTACATTCTACTATATATCATCTTGTCTGAAATTGGAATTTTGAAGAAAACTAGACTGAAACAGTATTTTTGAAAATACTACCAACACACTGATCAAAAGATTGAAAATAAGCCATAGAATTGGCTTTTTCAAGTTTTTAGGTTGTCTAGTGACATTTAAATGGAAAGCCGTGTTTTTTACATTGGGCCCTTGATTTTACATTATTACATCATATTCTATTCTATTCATTCATCCTGTCTGCTGAACTGCTGCTAGTTTAACTTACATGCCTGGAAGATGTCTAGTGCTACTACCACTGATGATCTCGCTCTCAAAATGGAATTGAACAATTCAGATTAGCTAGCCGAACATATAAGAGATAGAGCGTAGCAGCCTGTGGACTGGGCTGCCTGTCACAACTCCAGTCCGGCGCATGGATGATACAAGCGCCGCTTTGTTTAAAAAAATATATAAATATAATATATCGCCTACATGTTATGAATGCTGGCGTACCATAAATGATAAATTATGAGCAGTTTAGTTTGTGCCTTCAACTCTTTGCCCATAGGACGACGTAACTTGGATATAACCAAACGAAATTTCTTCAGAGCAGCTCCAAATGACACAAAACTCATATGGGTGAGTAGAACATGATGTAATAACGTAAAATCAGGGACCCAATGTTAAAAAAAAGCAAAAAACGGCGTTCTCCTTTAAGGGGAAAATGTAAACTTCATTTTACTTTTGTACTCAGGTACAATGCAGAAACTTTATTTGACTTTTATTGTACATAATGGGAGATACTTTTATCAGTTCTTTGTTGTGGTTTTACACAGTTATCTGCAAGTTTGACAGCTCTAATCAAATGGTGGAATCCCTAACAACAGTTTTAAAGGTTTTTTTTTATTTATTTATTTATTTTTTTTTTTTATGAATGTAAATATAAACATACAAGGCATACAATAAATTCACATTTGTGATTTTTTTTTTTTTTTTTTACATGGATTGAGCATGTTCAACATGAACAAAAGTATGAAACTAATCCAACAGGATTGTAAACTAAAATAAGATGAAAATAAAAACATAAATTTCAGGGGCCATTTCAAATTAAATTAAATGCTTCGAGTAAAGAAAATAATTTAAGGGCTTTCTTTTCTTCAACAAGTCTAAGAGATTTACTGAAAAGATTCCGCTCATTTCTCCAATGAGTCATACAA